CCGTGAATTTATTTTGGCAGAAATTTGCACGATGCTTGGCTGCATCCTTTTCCTTTTGCTATAAATCTCACACATGCTTGAGCATTAAAATCCAACTAACAGTTGTTTTGACTATTCTGCCAGCTTCGGTGTTTAAGATGAAGCCCAGATAAGTTCATCCAGATGCTATGCCTTAAGAATGCTTCAACAGCATTGCCTGAATTTTAAAGCGGTGTTTTGCCACAAGTATTAGATAATGATTTCTTATATTTCCTTTGCAAGTAAAGTCAGAATAAAATTGTGAAAGAAGTCCAGCAATGGAGTAAAAATGATGTCATTAAACATAAATACTTGACATTCTAGCCATTTTCTTTTTAACACAAAGCTATTTGTGGAAGACTGAGAGGGACATGCCCTCCATTTCTAAGCTCCCTTCAAGATCTGCAAAAATACTCTTCCTACGCTATGATTTGAGTCATCAGGAGCCTCTATCAACAGACAACAGAAATATGTGTGAAGCATTGTAACCAAGTTAAACCATGTATAATTATTATTTCTCTTCCAAAGCCACCCTTCAAGGCAGGAAGGTGGAGGTATACAAGAGTATATCTCAGACATTTTTCCTGAATCTTGTTAATGCCTGAACAAACTCATCAATGTAAAAAAAACAGTGTTCTGTAAAAAATTTGTTTTTACATTAAATCTGTTTTATAATGCAAAAGCTCCTAAATGCACCTGTAGGAAGCACTATGTTAATTGAGGCTTGATTCTCTCCACAGCAGTGCTTCTGTAGCTTACAGCTGTGTCTGGGTTTTCCTACCCTTATTTCATTCTGCAGGCGCGCTTGTGATTTCTCAAGTCAAAATCTTTACTTTAGTCTTCATTTCTTTTTGTCTTCACTTTTAGGCGAGCAGCTCCCTCTGCTGAATTTTCTGTGGACAGAACACGCCACCTTATGTCTTTCCTTACCATGCTAGGCCCCAGCCCTGACTGGAATGTAGGGCTTTCTGCTGAAGATCTGTGCACCAAGGACTGCGGATGGGTCCAGAAGGTGATTCAGGACCTGATTCCATGGGATGCTGGCACTGACAGTGGAGTCACCTATGAGGTATCAGGAATACTAAATTTTCTGTGCTGCTTTTATGACTAAATCATAGAAAACATCATGGAAGATGTTCTGTAGGAAACATGCTGTGTGGTGAATCGTATATGCCTAATAAACAGCTAACATGTCATGTCTTCTGGTCCTAAGCATTTAGTCAGAAGTGAAGGGAATCAAAAAAATGTGAGAGCTGATACACTGAACTTTGCAGGTTGAGTTTTATTTATTGATCTTATGCTACTTACTCCTTGTTGAATGTATTGATGAGATCGAAAAATGTCTTTTTATCTGCAGCCCCGATGCATAAAATTAGAGGAATGTGATAGGTTTTTTTGCATGCAGTTATGCCCATGTTTTGCCTAGAAAGATCTGTGAGGCAAATTGGCAGGATTTTCCTGAAGTAAATCATTAGCAGTTTCAGGGACACTACACAAACAATCGAATTAATAATACTGGAATGATTCTTCAAGATAGACAACCTAGGCCCTAGGTTGAAAAAAATGGCATAAATTGTAGGTCACGATGCATTCAACTTCTTGCTGGCATTGGATATCACCGTAAGAAGTTAATTACAATTATAAGCTTTTGCAATGATATTAGCTGATTATTAAATTATTATTATTATTATTATTATTATTATTATTATTATTATTATTAT